GTTTCTAGCGATTCGAACGTGCAAAACGCACGCATTCGTCGTTATTATAAACATCGAAGCTGACTTTTATTTTCAAATTTGAAAATATGTTTCGAATCACCGCGCGTTATCGAGTTATTATTATTATTTTAGCCTGAATTATCCTACCTTGGTAGTCATTGCTATAACGCTCTTCGTTGCCAATATAAAACATCAATTTTACGTTACATTACATTCTAAATCATCTGGCAAATTTATCGTTGTACCAATGTCTAGAAGGGTAGTTGAAAATCTCGTTTCAAAACGTTGACGTTAACGTTACGTAAGGAAACGAGCCTGACCTTTTCCACACTGAGCGCTGAAAACCTGAAGCTTAACGCTCGAGTTGTCTGCTTCTTACGCTGCCAGTATATCGCCCGCGAACGAAAGGGGCACAGTTTTTATATTCACTTTCGGTAGCCTTTTCACAAAACGTCAAATCTTTAACAGATTTAACATATATGAATAACATTCTACGAACGTAATGTTCATTATCTGGAAACGAGGATCGGTCTCGTGGACAATTTGAAGGGTTTGGTCCAGCATTTGGTTAAATATGACACAACGACAAGACGTTCACCGGCCATCGTGGAAATTACGAGCTCATACGACACGCGTTAACGGCTAGAGACCCATGGCCTCGTGACAACTTCAATGATGCTCGGTGTAAGTACACGTAACGATGGTCGATTGCGAAAACTCATCGAGCAAGTGAGAGTAACCATCATCAATTCTCGGCTTACTTGTTAGCGAGAACGTGCGTTAGGAGGTTTCGAATATATTTTATATTTACCAGCGACTCGAGGGTACTGGAAAGAACATTCGTGCAAGTCGCTATTTCTATTTATCACACTGTGAAACGAAATTACATGAATGTAAATATATGGATATTTATGATCACCAAAGCCAAAAGAATCCTCCATAAACAAAAATACATGGACACAAAATAGTGAGCTGCTTATTTTGCTAGTTCAATTATTTGAGGAATGGGCCTAACAGAGATAATATGTTATCAAACGATAATAATTAGAAAATACAGAAATGTTTACACCGATTAAAAAAATTTCTTTAAATTAAGTGGCAGTTGGCCACGAGGCCTCAAGCTGACATAGACGACCCTGAGTCATAGGTCTCGATAGCTGCGAACCCGAAGCGTATAAGTTGACTTTAATGACCCAAGAATATCAACGATGCCGGTGTTACATGAGTCAACTTCGAGGAAGGTCAGAATTGTATTTCACCCACCGAGATCGAATTATGCATTTCTTCAAAATCTTTAAAAAATGACTTACAATTAATTCACAAAATATATTATTTTCGTCCTTTAGGGGCATCGTCGGATATCAAAAAATAATTAACTTTGTTCGACCTCTCAGATATTTCGACCTTTCAATCTCAAGCGATAAAGCTTGTCATTTAAACTTTAGTGATTTTTTGGAGAATTACGCAATAGGAAAGAAATTTAAAAAATAAATAGATATGACAATACTGTGAAAAACATAATGGATATCACTTGACACCGGATTCAAAGTTAATGCTTTAAAGATAAGATCATCGATTTTGAGCGTATTTAAAAATATTTCGAACGTATCTCAAAAATTTGATTTCCGGTATAAAATTTTGACCTTTCCTTGTAAGACGAGCATCACGATGGAAATAATTCAAGGATGTTTTCTTCCGATAATACGTAATCTCCGGCCATGTATGTTAAACACGGTGTCCGCGAGTTTCGATAACGATGGTCCATAGTCCTACGAGCGATCCACGACTCGCTAGCGTGAAAACGATCGATCGAGAAATCAATCGTGTTGTAGAGTCAGGGTAAACGACTCCGCCCACGACGGAAAGTGAGATCTGGTGTTTTGCATCGGACGACAACTGGGTTAACTCGACAGCGAGCTTGTTGAAAATTGCGACACGTTTTTACCTCAGGGTCAGCGTGTCGGCAACTTCATGCTGGAAACGGACATCCCCGTGTGCGCGGTCACGTTCCTGGCTGTCGCCGAATTTCGTTTTCCTTCTTCGATAAATTCGCGAGGACGCCGAGTCTCCAAATAATCGGGCGTAAACAGTAGTTTTCCATAGAAATATTTCGTGTACGAGGTTAAGAAGTTTATCTGGGCTGGTCGATTGCATGGAAAAAAATTAATCGCGCCTACTGGGACGAGACTTTCCGATTTTCTTTCGTCTGTTGCGATAAAAGATAATGGACTCGATGAAGCTTTATTATCGAGACGAATATGCGTTAATCGTAACCATATTAACACTGTTCCACCGAATGCATCGTTCCTAATTTTGCCTGTCTTGAACGACGTTTCGCTACACGGATGATGCTAGTCGAATTTGTCACCGCGTGGCCGTGGAATCACTGTTTCCCGCGTGAAAACGGAATCGACGGATGCCATTGTCGCCGACCATTGAATAACAGAATGGCCCCCTTGGCAGCGGCGGTAAAACGGCACCCGTTGGCCTCAGGCCAGACTGTCGGAGAAAGAAGGGCGTCACGAAGCCGACCAGCTGACCCAATGCACCTGGAAGAGGATGACCTCGAACCACGAGAGTACATCGGTCCCGATTGGCGGAATACCAAGAAACGACCACCGTTGGATAACCGGATGTCTGGTCCGGTGGCTGTCAATTTTCGACACACGGATCATTTTCGATGTTACGAGTATTCCTACGAGCTTGCAAAAGATAGTTTACACGGTCTGTTTGCGCGATAATATCGTGGACACTATAGTGTTGTAATAAAAGAACCCGAGTGTAAACGCAAACCGCCGTCGGTCGTTTGGAATAGAACTTTCAGTGAAATAACAGTAAGCGTCGGTTAGGTGGAATCAACTACCCGTGTCAAGTGCTGAAACAGTATTAATTGGAGAACAACAGAGGTGAATGAAACCTGCAACGCCTTCTCATGATGTAATATCTATCGAGCTTCTGTTTGAACTCAACCTTATGTTATTTCAACCATAACGCGCACACGTTCCTCCCACGTTTACGAAGCATTTTAATGGCCAGATAAGATTTAGAAATATTAATGCTCAAGTCGAAACGTAGAGGGGAATAAATGTTAGCGGTGGATGTATCGAATAGTGTATTTTCGAGTATCCGCCCTTTTTCCGTCCGAGACGCCTCAATTAAAAGCTAACGGACTACGGCGGAACAGGTGAGACAGGTGGTAGGGCAAGCTGGGTCACGACGGCCATTCAAGTCGGAACGAAATTCCGCGAAGTCGGTGAACTCGGTAAATCGAGCATGACGGATGAATGAAACATCGCGGCGAACGATTCCCTGGACCAACAGGGTTAAAAGAAGAAGATCGGGATCGCGGATTTTTACGGTTTCGTTCTACGAGCGTTGCAGACGACCAGCACGCGTCTTTCAAATTTCAGACTCTTGTAAAAAATACCTTGCACCGTGATTGTCGCGGTTGGCGGCTCGGATAATGGTTTATCGCGTTTTAAATGTCTTTTGAGCGAAAACCGGGTCGAACGAGTTAATTTGTAGGAGCATCCGGTATCGGGGAAGATCTCGTTACGAGCTGTGCGCGTAAACATCGTGCACGCGGTGTTGTTCGTGTGCACGTGGCGCGAGTAGAGTCGGCGGGGGAAATATTCTCGCGAGGAGAAGAAAGGAGTCGGTCAGATAACTGTACGTCGCGGCCTCCCGGACGACATCTTCAGCATCGTCGACACCTGGAACCTCTTCTTCTCTCATTCACGTACGCACACCTTATTCAACGTTTTCCCGATTCTAACGCTTGCCATCTCTCTCCATCTCGCTCGCCGGTACTCGCGACTTTACCGGTTTACTTACTTCGTCCCGTGGAATTCGAGGCCTTACTCTAAAATCCCAACCCGACCGCGAGCGACGCTTCAATGGTGCTGACGTTACGACTACGCGATTGTTATGCGTTCACGCTAATATTATTATTATTGCTTGTCCTTTTCCGACTCGCTGCCGTAATTCCTGCGGACGTAATTGTCATTTATTTATCCGAACACGTGCAACAGCTTGTTTCCGCGCTTCGTTATCGCGAACAGCTGTTGAGATCGCGTTCCAAAGTTCGTCGGCTTCGATGACAACTCGTCGACGATTAAAATCCCCTGTTACACGGTCACGAGTCTCGAGGAAAGTTTCTGGCATGGACCAGGCAACGTCCTAAGAATTTGTATCATTTAAAAATGATTAAAACTCGAAGATAATAATAGTTATACTACGCATTATTCACGAATATTTCTCTATCGGGGTATTTTAAAACGTTTCCTAGATCGAAAGCACTAGTTTCGATATAAGGTGTCGAGGCAGCAAGGGTCAGGGATCAACTCCAATCGACTAATTAAAATATGATTCTAAATTCCGCTGACAAAGATACACGCATTATCGTATTTACCATATACGTGCGTGTGACGCAGGCCTTTTAATGGCAATAATACGTAACACTTTTATTCCTTTCGTGAAGATTTGCAATTTAAAAAAGGAGCCAATGTCGATCGATGATTCTATGGTAAATCAACCATCTAATATTTCTATAGAGTATTTATAGAAGTTGCCAAGATAGTTCTTGATGCGTTTTTAATCGCCGGATATCGATAAAACTACACGATGACCAAATGCAGCCTCGAGAACACGCGCATCCTTCGAAAACTTCCCTTCACCACCCACTGCTTCTTTCCACGGAGGTGTCGTTACACGTCCTCGACTGACCTATTCAATATTTAGCATGCAACGCCTCAACTATTGTACAACGGATGCTGATCGTTTACAGCGAATCGATTACGCGCAATTTCCATCGAACAGTAGCGCTATACACGACCGAACTTTACGTTTCTTCTCTGAAGGAAAACTAAATTTACAGACAGTGCAGCATATTTGGAATACCGAAGTATTTAAAAAACTATTAGCAAATTACCGATGAAAATAATGCCCATAGTCGTTATTACGCCGAAACAATAACAGAGATATCGTTTTCTTTTTTTCAGACGATGAATCGTTGACAGATGTTAGAGCACATAGATTGGAAAGGGATCTGCAAGGTAAGCCTCTCGATTTTCTTATGCCTGCTTGTCTTGCATCATACTTGTATTCTCACAGTGGAATTGCACTTGCAACCGAACTTCCATAAAATTAACTACTTCCTAAACTCGGAGTATACATTTTGCAACACCATTATTCTATCGTTCGTCGATAATTCGAAGCGAGGCGATCGAGTGCAATTCTCTCTCTTTCTTTCGCTTGTTTCTCTCGTCTCTGCTGTCTGACCTGTCTCTTCTCACAGTAAAGCACGGTTTGTCTCTAAAAGATCTTCACTTGTGCGTGTCGACGCGAGGTGCGGCCTCTAAATGTATATAAAAAATATGTTTTCTCGAAACGTCTCTTTCTCTCTGTGTCTATTTTATTTTTATTTTTGTTCGTTCTTTCTCGTACACGTTGCGTGTCGTTTCCGTGGGTACGAGGGCTCGAATCCTGGCAAGCGACATACCGCAAAACGTAGCCTCGGGGGACTTGATAATCGATCCGAAGAGAGGATAGAAGAAAGAAAAAAAGGAAACGAATCGTAGAGAGACGACTTTCACTCGTCGAAACGCGAAATTAATTGTAGGTTCGCACGGGCCTAGATCGGATAATCGGACACGGTAGGTTCGAAACGGGTTCTCAGGTCCCTCGAGCCGCGACACACGCGTACGCGTCTAACGCCTGGTACCTTTCTTCTTTTCTCTTGGATTTTCTCGGACGCGCGCACGATCCGAAATGATTCGGCCGTGAACGTGCGACGATCCCGGAAACCGATACTCGCGACATGGTAACGGGTACGAAGCCGTGGCAGGTGCTCTAGGTTACGAACAAGAATTACTCGTCTACTAAGATCGTCTGTCTCTTTTTTTTCTGTTTCTGTTACTGCTCCCGCCTGCTCCTCGCCTTCAACTCTTGTCAACAACTGGATGCCGTCTGCCTCCAACGTCCGCCCGCCACTCCGTCTCTCCGACGACTTACATTATCTAACAACAAATACAAATCAACACGTTCGATCGAACAAAACAAACAAAACAAAATTATTATTTTTAAAACACGAACATCGACCATTGGCAACGCGTGAAAAAAAAAACACGACTCGAACGAATTTACTACGACTGGACCGTCCCTTGATTCCGTTCGGCCCCCGTACGCGACTCCTTCCGGTCTACGCGCGACGACTGTCCCGAATTCGCGATAATTCTCGACTACCGAAATTTATCAGGTGTGACAACGGTCCTCCTAGTCCCGGCGCGACCCGGTAAATCCGCCCCACCGGTCGGTCTGCTGACGAAAACCGCGAGAACGTTCGTGCAAGATGGTGCTAGCACGGAGTTCGCTACCCAGGTCCTCGGTACCACTCTGGACAATGGCCGTCTCTACGCCAGGATACTGTCCACGTCGAGCAGGGTGTTTTACGAGAAGGAACCGACCCCGGACACGCCGAGTCCCTACCTGGTGTACCCGTCACGAGCGCCCAGCGACGACTGGCAGCTCAGGGTGGCTCTCGATAACGCGCCTATCAAGGCTCTCAAAGAGATAGAATCCCCTAGAGCGGAGGAATCTGGAAATAGGAACGACGACGACGATAAGGCCTCGACCAAACTGGACGAACTATCCAGGGAAAATGACATATTCAGCAGACGGGAGATCAACTCCGACTCTCAGAGATTTAAACCCGCGAAGGTCAGACCCGCGGATAATTTACCAACGTTTACGGTGAAGCACGAGTACGTGGCCAGCAGCTTCGACAACATCGAAGACGAACAGCCAAAGAACTTCAGGCCCCGTTTGCCGAAGATCTTCAAGCCTCAGCCGAAAGCCCTCGCGCCCAAGAAGCCCGACACGAAGCCATTAGCTACCGTGACCTATCACGGTTTCGCCGATTTCACCACTACCGTCGGGGAAACCGTCATCGTTTTCTCCCCCAGCACGTCGCCCGCCCCCGCGGGTCGTCCCGCCACCACGATCAAAGGAGATGCGACACTCAGGCCCGACGACGGGATCGCCGTGATGGAAATCAGGCCCACGAGTATCGTGGCTGGTCAAGAGAAGACCGTACAACACCCTGGACTCGAAATACCGTACAGTTCGGAGGGTGGATCGGGCGATGCTCTGTTGGACGCTATCAACAGTGCCAACATTCAACCTAGCGTCACCGAGGACTACGAAATCGACTCGTCCACCGTGTCCACGGAGCCACTGCTCCTGGTGCCGGACGTGGAGACGGGATCTCTGAAACCCACCGGCCTTCTCAAGGTCCTAGATTCGACCACCTCTCTGGATGGCACTACCACCCATTATAAAAGTCTCATTTACGGTACCTACATAGGCACCAACTATGCTCAAATCATTCACACGTCCTCGAACGTCTACTTTTTCCCCGACGAAGCCACCAGGATCTACGACACCGAAGATACTACCGTGGATTACGGAACCACCGTCGCGGAGGATAACGAAGGCGAACAAGAAACCACGTTCGAGGTTACGACCGGTACCACACCAAGAGCGATCGCCACGAGCGAGGAAACTCCGGAGATCAACGAACTGACCACTCCGTTGAGGGACACCACCGACAGTGTGCTGACTACCCTGAAGGATATCTTGGAGAGCGCTAGGAGGGTTCTAGGGACCACCGAATCGGCTGCACCGGTCCTGAACGACGAGATTCCAAACGATATCTTGCCGGGAGATCCGCAAGGACGTAGCATCAAAGGTGGTAGTCCGAAGAACGATCTTGGGCATAATCGCAAGGAACATGGGTTCACCGAGACGGAGGAGAAGCCCACGCTTGCCACCAGGATCCTCCCGTCTACCGTGTACAAGACTTTCACGTACTTCACGACCTTCTTCATTCCCGATGGCGTGGAAACTACCACCTCGATACGTTCCAGGGAAGTGGTTTCATCGGAGGTCACTTACTTGACGGAGCTGATTCAGCCGAGCGAAACTACAGCTGTTCTTCCCACGGTACACGCGGAACCGACGACGATTCGAACCGCTCCGAGCTTGATCAGTGCGGCGGAGGAAGAACAGACCACCAAGCAAGACGAAGAGATAGAACTGATCTTCAAGACTCTGTACACCACTTACACGTACTTGACGACGTTCTTCCAGGAGAACACGTCCAGCGTCTCCAGCCGCGAGGTCGTCGAGACGAACGTCATTACTCAGACCGTCGGCCCCAACGGCGTATCCGCGGTCGTTGCAGGACTCTTCGAGAAAGACGAATCCGTCGCCATATCTTCGACGAGAACTTCCGAAAGCATTCTACCCTCGGTCGTCCCACGGCCGGAACAGGGAACCGAGAAGTATCCTACTACCTTGGAACAAACCACGGAAGATACTCTGACCACGTTGCAAGAACAGGATACTACCACCGATCAGAACATCCCCACGGAATCGGAGATAACTGTCAACGACTTCGAGGACACCGATCGACCCATCATCGAACCGAGTCCGACTCCGGTTCTGCCAACAGAGTCTGCCAAGGAACAGATCAAGACTTATTACACCACGTACACTTACTTCACCACGATCTTCGTCGACGACGAAACGGAAATAGAAACCAGAACAGAGGTGTTCACGAACGTGGTGACGGAAACTATTCAACCAACCGCCGTGGTACCGGCCACTCAAGAGACTCTAGAGCCAACGACGCCGAAAGTCGAGCAACCTAATCAACCAGCCGTTCCTCCGGAGATTTTGGCCTATCTGGAAGCACTCCAGAGACAGAAATCCCAAGAGGAGGCGCTTCTTCTGGCGAAGAAGGCGCAGCAGCAGGCTGCCACCGGCGAGGATGAAAATACGACCGCGTTCGAAGCCAGATCGGAAACGACAGAATCCTCCACCACGGTGGAGGATAAATCGAGCAGCGAGAATCTCTTCCGTGGTTTCGAAGTAAACGCCCAAGTGACACCCAATCCTCCCGTGGAAGGCGAGGTGTTAGGATCCATGGTCACAGACGTGGTGTCCTCGTCTAGTTCCGGCGGTGGAACGGTCTTGGACGCGATGGACAAGCGAAACGCGGTTCCAGAGGATCAAGAATTGTCGGAGTCGAACCACCACGACGTGGAACCAGCGCCTACGCTTCTTCTTCAAACCAGTTACACGACTTTTACGTACTTCACCACGATGTACAAGGGTGACGAGACGAACGTGGTCAGTCGCCTCGAGACTGTAACCAACGTCGCGACGGAAACCATCAGGCCCACGGCCGTAGTACCCGTGGAGACGAGCACTTTGCCCGTCACTTACTTCACAACGTTCACCTATTGGACGACCTTCTACAAAGCTGGCGACACCGTGACGACGAGTCGCGAGGAAACCGTCAGCAACGTCGTGACTCCAGGAATCGCGGCCACGCCGACCGTGGAGCTTGGCGTCATCATGACTTACAGGCCAACGACTTCGTTAGAGGAAAACGGTCTGACGACCGACAAAGAATCGAAGATCACAGCTGAGAACGAGGTAACGCCCTCGGACATCGCTCCGACGGAAACGTCCAAAACGGAGGAAACGTCTTCGACTTCGACGTCGACTACCACGACCTCCAAAGACGTCCCTACGGTCTCTCCCACGGATACCTCGACCGTTTCGCCAGAACCCACCACCTACTATACCACGTACACGTATTTTACGACTTCTTACATCGGTAACGAGACCATATTGAACAGCAGACTAGAGACAGTGACCAGCGTTTCGATTCCGGAAGTGGTCGCGACGCAACAAGTAGCGACCGGTAGAGCAATCGACGGTCCGGTGTACCAACAGAGCCTGGCGACCGAGGCGAAGCCGGTCACGCCGTCAAAGGTTACCGAACAGCCAAAAATAGGTCTGATTTCGACGATTCGATCGAGCCAGGTCAACGACGGGACCACCACCCATTACACGACCGACGTACACGGCACGTACATCGACGGATTGTACGCTCAAGTCGTAGAGAGCTCGACGAGAATAGAGAAGCCGCCAGTACCGTCTTCGTCCGTTCCTACTCCCGTTCTTCCGACGGGAGTGTTGTCCTTGAACAAGGGTAGCGTCGTGGACGCTGACGAAATAACGACGATCTACTTCACCACGAAACAAATTGGTACCCTGTTCGACGGCCTGTATGCCAAAGTCATCGAGAGTACTTCGAGCACGAAGATCGACGCGGAGAGGAAGGCTACCGTTTCGCCTGTTCCGGGTCATCGAACCGGTCTGGTACGATTGATACAGGGTCAGATCGAGAACAATGGAACCACCACGTATTACCAGTCGAAAGTAATCGGTACCAGCATCGAGGGCAGGTACGCCCAAATCATCGAAAGCACCTCGAGTTTCTTATCGGCGACTCCGACGATCAACATCGCTCCGACGTCGACCTTGCCACCTACCAAACCAACGGAAATTCCAGAAATCTCGCCCTCGCCGGCGGTGATCCAATCGTCCCTGTCCGAAGACCCCACGACGGAGTCTCCCGACCAGGAAGAGGACTCTGAAGAGAACGAAGAGGAGGAAGAAGAGGACGAGGAGGGCAAGGATGGACAGAGTTCCAAGAAGAAGTCGAGATTGACGTTCTCGACGAAAAAGAGGTCGTTCACTCCGGCCATCAGGCCGTTTGCCTCGAGAAACAGACCGACGTTCAATCCTAAACGCAAGGGAGCGCAAGGAGCAACTACGATTACCAGAACGGATATAACGCCCACTATAACAGCAACCTTGGCTGGAAAAGGCAACAGATTCGCTTCGTCCAGAGGTCGAATCAGCTCACCGATAGGACCGTACTCGTCGACGCTCTCGCCGTCGGGCTCCAGGAGGTTCGCTGGCAGAAGAGTCTCTCCAAATACAGCGAGTTCTTACGCGTCGACCGTGCCAGGAAGCACGAGAGGCAGACAACAGTCCAGGATATCCCCGTCGTCCGTCTTCCAGGGGAACAGGCGAGGACCGACGTCAATCAGAGGTTCCTCGGCCAGAGCTGCGACTCGAGCTTCGAGTTCAGCGTTCCCCGGAGCGTCCACCAGATACAGATCGCCCATCCGTCCGTCTTCGACTCTGCTTCGAGGACAGGCAACGGTCAGACACGACGATCAGGAAAACGACGCCAACGAGTACACTACCACCACTCTAATAACGGAGGAGACACCGTACACGGAGGATATCGACGGCGGTGAAACCGTCACGGCGCTTTTGCAAACGACCACGGAGTCCTCCAGAAGATCGACCAATCCTCTGCTGAGGTTCCGCAGACCCATCAATTTGAACAATTCCGGAAGAACGGCCACGACGGCCAGGTCACCGACCACCACCAGGAGAAATGGTAATTTGAACAGACCCACTTCACCGACGGTTCCTAAAGTCAGCAACTCCCGAAGCAACGGAAGGACGACCGTTCCGATATCTACTAGGCCGCGTCAGAGCGGTATAGGCCTCTTCCCGCCTCGAGGTCTGTTCGGGAAGAAGCAAGAGTTGCCTACAGAGGAGCAGATTGAGCCCAACGAGGAGCTGGAGAATGACGGCGAAGAGAACTTTGAGGACGAGCCGGTGGAGGAAATAGTCGACAACGATTACGAGGGCTCGGAACACGAGGACAGAACCACGAACGTGAATCGTCGTTCCGGGAAATCCGTGAGACCGTCGCTACAAGCCAGGCCTTTCACGAGAGGAAGAAGAACTCGTCGACAGGCGAGTCAGTTAAGATCTTATTCGAGTCGTTTTCGACGACCGAGTCAGCCGGGTTCTTCGAAAGCCGAGGATAAGGCTAACGTGACCGAAAATACGTCCAGCAAGGAGGACACTGGAAAATCCGCCACAAAACCGATTGCTCGTTACAACAATCGCGGAAGGTCACTGACGACGTCTCGGCCACCTCCGAAGACGGCTAACAATCCGGAAAAGACGTCCGCAGAGTCGACGGAGCTCAGTCAAAGCAAAGTCAGACCTCGAGCTAAGCAGTCCAACGGCGACAGAACCGCCGCGCCCAGAATAAAACCATCCCCCGCGTCCAACAATGGCAGACAATTCACGTTAAGAGAAAAGGATGGCGCCTCGTCGAGCAGATCGAACTATAAAAGACCCAGCGCTTCGGGAACGAGAAACAACGGTCGATCCACGAGCACCACCGACAGAGTGAGACCCCCGAGGTTGAAAAACGGTTCCAACAAGTCCTCCGAATCGTCGAGTTCGAACTCGAGGCGAGTGCCTCCATCTCGCGCGCCCTCCAGACCTGCGACTAGAAACGGTAGTAGAAGGGGTACGTCGTCCTCGCGATCGAAAGGATCTCTCGAGGACATTAGGGAATCGCCCACCGTTTACCCAGACTATGACGGAACTATCACGGTCACGCATTACGTCCCCACCGAGGTGACGATCCCCGTTGTAAATAATGGTATCACGGAGCATCGAAATATCATAACGGCCCAGCCTAGCACCGAAGTTTTAGCCCCCTCTCAATATAGCACCGTGACAGGTGGCGACGGCAGGCCGCTCGTTGTAATCGTTAGCGAAGTGACCGGTACTAACGTGCAAGGTCAAACCGAGGTCACGCGATTCCTGCTCCACGAGACGCCCACCACTCGGGTCTCCCACACGCTGACCACCCTCGGGGGTCGCAGAGCCTCGCAATCGGTGATCGTGCCCACGACCGTTTATTCCGTAGAGAACGTCGTCTCCACGGTGCAATCGTCTCTCTCCGGGAACGCCCCGCTCGCGAACATCCTGCTATCGCAGCTGCTTCTCGGTCAGTTAGGTCAGGCGAACCCGTTGCTCCAGCCCCAGGGCACCCCGTCCACACAGTACAACACGCGCACGACATCCTACGTCACCACGATCACTAAACAACAGAGCACCGTGATCCCCCTTACCTTCCGGGGTAAGGAAATCCTGACGACTCTGGTGGACACGTCGACCGGCGTCGTCACCGCGACGGAGTTCATCACGGACACGGTCGTGGTGACCCCGACAGCGGCCCTGCCCGCGGCCAACCTGAATTCCCTGCTGTTGCTGCTCCAGCAACCCCAGCAGTCGTCCAAGAACCCCAATCCCCTGCTGGACCCTCTGTTCGCCGCGACCCCGTTCACCCAGAGCAACACGCTGCCAGGGGAGGTCGAGAGGAGGCACCAGCCCGCGGATTCGGACTACAAGCAGGACAGCTACGAGTACTCCGACGACGAAGACGCGCGCGACTACAAGTCCTCCAGGCCGCGCAACAGCCGAGGCAAATCGAACGAGAAGAAGGACGAACGTTCCGCCGCCCCGAAGGAGGAATCCAGCGTGGTGACGCTCTACGTCTCCGGGCGGAGGCCAGGAGAGTTCAGCACCGTTCTGAGCACCGTAAAGGTGACCGACACGGTCAGCTCGTCCAGGAAGCGACGGGCCGCCGGAGATGATACCGTCGAGGTTCGACCTTCCGTTCCGCCGTCCTTGCACGCGGGTCCTGAAGAACCGACTATTCTGGCGGGCAGCGAGGATACGAACGACGCACACGCACCGACAGAGAGTCTCGAGAGCGTAGTGGGTGACGTCGGACGGCACATTTCCACATCCATCCTCGCCTGATCCTTGACGAGCCTCTTCACCGATCTTTCCCCCTTCTCCCCTAACTGTCCATTCTTAATTAAGTTGCGACTCGCGGAAACCCACCTAGACCGAAGCTGACGACCTTTCCGGGCGTTTCGCGGGGGAGGTCAGCGGCTCGCTGACCGTGTAATATAGCGGAGCCCCCAAGGATCGCTCCTCGACGAATCCGCGACACAATCTATCTCTATCTATTTCTCTCTACTATCTCTTGGCCGGAGAATCGTGGAAAGCTCGCAGCTTCGGTCGACCGAGAGCCACGCGCTAGCTGGACTCTCGGTACCCGTACTCTTCGTCCTGTTCGCTCTCCCCAGTCTTTCTTCTATTATTTTCCTTCGAACACTCCCCCTTCGAGCGTCGTCCTCTTACTTCCATCTACTAACACAGCCTTGAATCCGCCGCCGCACGCGCGCCCACACGACCAACAAACCCAACGCATGGTACCTCCCTGTTTGTCGGACAACATCGCAGTAAACACACCGCGCGATGGGGATAACCGCTACTATGTGCACGAGAAACAATGTATGATCGAATATCGGATGGTCGTTTAACCCACCGGACGCTTAACGCTCGACGAGAATCCCCTTCTGCTCGGTTGCTCGGTCGCGTAGTTGTAACGAGAAGCAACGAGGATAAACGCGTCCACAGAAACCAGCCAAAACGTCGACTTTTCAGATGATAGCCCCGACGACTATCCGCACGCCGACTTTGATAGCAAACGCGAGAGAGACGGTTGGTCGAACGACGAGACCGACGAGAACGGCGAGAACGGCGACGACTACCTCGAGGAAACGCCGAAGAAACGGGTCAGAATACGCGTCCCCGTTGTCAGAAAGAATGGCAGACAACACAAGCTGACCGTGGTTAGGCGCAGACCTCTGGTCTCTCGAACGGAGGATCCTCCAGCGATCGTCGCGAGTCATACGCCGCGGAGAATCGTCGTAACTCGTGTCAGAACGCTGGGGTTGGCCAATTCTGCGCGCAGCGAGGAGCTCGATGCATCCCGCCGCGAGACCGGAAGACACAAGGTGACCATCACCAGGCGTCGAAAGATCGAATCGACCCCCGTTCTGCCAACCACCAGCGAAAAGAGGGCTAGAATTACCAAGAAAAAGCTGATCGCTGTTAGACCGGTGCAACCAACACCGACCTTCGCCATCATCACGACCGGGTTCTTCACGGCCCCGTCCACCGAATACGACGAGGAATATTCGGTAGAAGATGACGTTGAAGAGGAAGAGGAGGATGGCAAGCAAGAGGTCGGTTTAACGATTACGCCAGAATTGGAGGAAACTCCCAATGCAATCGATAATACTCCTGATATCATGCAAAGTACAACAAAGGTCGAAGAGACCGAATCGATAGAATTGAAAGAAACCACCGTCGAAACTCCGATCATCATCACGGACAATTTCTTTTTCCCGCCGTCCGAGAATGAGTACGAAGAGTACGACGACGAATATTCGGATACAACCACGCCCGAAGATGCTTCGACGGCGACCGTTCCATCGCAGGTCGACGAAAACGTCGTGTCGAACAAGTTGGACGCCAGGGCAATGCCTGAGACGACCACCGAGAAGGAAACAGCGACCACGGAGAAGCCTACTCCGGAAGACGCAGCAACGACCGAGGCCGTTCCGGAACAGCCGCCTACGACTACCGAAGAGACGTTGCACAAGCTAGAAAACGTAACCGAACAACCGGAAATCCTCGATACCACGTTGCAGGAGGATAGTTTTACTACAGTTCGGCCGGAAGTTAAGGAAACGGACGATGCAGAAGAGATCTCGACAACGGTCGAGCCGGTGGAAACGACTGTACCCGTGGACGAGACAACGGTGATAAATATCCCCGAAGAGCAACCCGAGACAACGATACCCACTGAAACCCAACCTGTGAGTACAACCACCGAGAAAGAAGAGACACAGGTGAGCACGGAGGATTCTGTGTCGTTCACCGAACCGCCCGAGTCCCAAACGGAAACGCAGATCGAAATCAAGGACGTTTCTTCGGAAGAAGAGATCGAATCTACCGTCGCGACGACGCAGGACCTCGACGATTCGCCAAAGGACGCGACAGATTCGACCGAATTCAAAGACCCCGTGTCGGAGGATGTAACCACGCCCACGCCTAGCTCGAACCCGGAAACCGAGAGTCCCTCGATGGGAGATCCCGTCGACCAAAAGGATAAAACTCCCGCGACACCCGACGAGAAGGAAGAAACGACGGTGCAACCGATACACTCGGTGGTCGAACTATCGTTGGAAAGTTCGTTGGACGGTTCGTCGTCCTCGTCGGAGGTTTCGTTGTCAGCAGACGCGACGGCCAGTTTCGCGAGCGTGTTGCCTTTAGAGACGTCCCAGTCGATATCTCGCGACACCGCCGTCCCTAATTACTTGGACGATTCCGATATACCGAGCGTGATCCCTCTGGGAGTCGAGTACACACCCGGGTCAGACGCGAGAGGGACCGCCGAGGTCCTCGAAGCCACCCCGAGCCTCGAGTTGCCGACCCTGACGACGTCCATCGCGTCGCCGACTCCCGAGGACATCGAGGCGGGATTAGCCGACGACCTTTACCTGTCCCTTTCGAGGCCAGACTTACCCGAGATTTTACCCACGAGACCGACCACTGTCGACCACAAGACCAAGACCACGCCCGACTTAGAACCGAGCACGAGCGTTTACTATACGGAGACTGTAGTTACGTCGACGCGATTAAGGACGTACACGTACGTCGTAACGCAACTGAACGGACTGGAGACGAAAGTGACGTCCTCGACGACCGTCAGACCGAGAGTCACGACTCTTACGTTGACGGTGCCCGTCACGGTGACTGTTACTCCTACCGTGGAGTCATCAGCAAACTCCGTGTCGTCTGTGTATAATCCAGTTCCTGTTCTCGGTGAGTAGCTCTACCGGCCGTCTGAGCCATTTCTATCGCGATCGTTGCGTTGCCCGAACTCTTTCCGATCGCAACGAACGGATTATTACAAGGAATAAATAATTAAAACGACGCTCGATGGAATCGTTCGGGACACGCGACGATCGATGTAAAAAGTAATCCTTAGACTAATATACAAACTTCCGCTCGCGGCGACCTGCTCGCGCGAGATTGTACAAATGCTCCTCCAAGTTTCACTTCGATTGGCTTATGGCATTCTAAATTGTTTCCCCCCTTGTACAAAATAGAAGTCCCGGAGACGTGTACATATTGTAAATGAAGTCGCGGTTTTGTACATAAATATCTGCTGTTGTTACGTTCGATGTGTACATTCTACTTTCGTACGTTGATCTCAAATGTTACCACTTATTCTCTCTCTCACTCTTGCTCTATCTGTTACGCGACGTCGATGACGCGACGCCTGAATGGCTGCAACGATCGATCGAGGATGCACCGTGCACGAGCTGTTCAGGCGCGTACCAGTTTGCGAAGGATTAAACACTGTATAAGTTTGGTTCTTTCTATCAGAAACGTCGTATATATTTACGTAACGTATAATTAAAAAAATTCGCGTTACCGGTTAGTCCTATTAACCGCGATGTGCCCGAAACGAGACCATGTTCAGGTTGTAATCGATCGAATTGCAATGACAGGAGAACACGAAGCGAAAGATGAAGAAGGCCGAAGGTTCAACCTGGCCACTCGCGTAATGTCAAACGGAGTCGAGGTGATCGTAGCGGGTCCGACGCCAGCGTTGCGATGGGAGAATTCTGTTCCTCAGCCTACGCTAACATTGTCTGACGCCGTCGTCATGATGCTTCCGCAAGATAAACCCAATGAGTTTGTTACTAAGACTTGTACCACCACCTTCACCTATCTCACCACGATTACCAAGGACGGAACGACCACCGTTTCCACGGAACAACAGGTAAAAAGTTAGCTTGTACTTGTACGTGTTCTTTTTAATATTAAACTCGTCATTGCAAAATAAGGAATTCAAACTCTACAGCTTCGAGGTCCGCGGATCCATTAAAGGATAGAGGCAAAGGTAAAGTCGATGATCATTGAGAAAATCTGTTCAAGGTCGTGGCAAATACAGCCACGGAGGAACGTCACCGGAAACCAGGCTCGGAAACAGCCGCGGTTACGCTAGAGGCGTCGCCCACGCTGCGCACGGAAGTCTTCAAGACGACTTATACTTATTTAACGTTGAACACCGATCATCCAAACGTGAACGACGCCTTGGAAAGCAGCACGAAAGTGATAGCGAATACGGTAACCGCCCCCCAACACTATCTGGACATGATTTTGGAGCCGTCGGAGGCACCGCAACCGGAAACGAACACGTACCTGAGTACAAGAATGTTGGAGAAGACGTTCATGGAGGATGGACGAACCAGAATCGAAACTACGAGCGACACTGTCACTCAGGTGTTTATTTTTACCTACGAAATGTATATTTTTAGAGGAAAAAGATCTTTAAACGAAATTGTTTTGTTTCTCTTGCAGCTTATAGTAACGGAATCCGCGCCACCCCCTCGTCCAACCAGTGTCACAACCACTCTGACAGCTCTGGATGGTACCGAGGAGAGCATGACCGACGCGATGAAGACTTACTATATCACCTACACATATTACAATACTTTCTTGGAGAAAGGAAGTACCGTGGTTCGAACGAACGTCGCGACGTCGACCGACGTCGTCCTGGAGAAAGTTCCTGTTAAGAAAACCTCGACGAAGACTGCGTTGGTTAACGCTACCCCGGAACCTATTCAAATTTTCGCCACGAAAACGTATCTTACGACGTTCACCTACTTTACCACGCTACTTCAGGTACGTTTAAATATGGAAAGTAGAAAAGTAAGAAATATCTTATAAATTTTGATTGGTATACAGGCTGGAGCGGACGGAGAAACGTCCACCACAGTGTCCTCGCGATCTCATATCGTGGAGAACGTCGTCACGGAGTCGATAGCTCCCAGTTTACTGGATGCTGGCTACATGAACGCTCTGTTAACCACGGCCCATCATTCCGACCCGGTGAAGAACGTCGTAACCGGATCGACCATCATCTTCTTCGACGAGGAGGATCAGATCGATCCTACCACGACCACCAGTTTCCCAGAACCCAGCTCCACGGTCGAAATCCAAAAGGACGAGTTAGTTTCTACGAGTCTGATCGCAACCGAGGCGACTCCCGTCGTCAACGAGCCGAATCTGAAGCCTGTCGGACAAATTAATCAAGTAAGGAAAATATCGTGAAACGAATAGTTTAAACCGTTACTAATTTCGAAATATTAAAATTAATTCCAGGAAAATAACTCGACAGCCTCAGCTCCGGGAGAAGCCGGTCAGAACAAACGACCTCCGAATCAAAATACGAGTGATCTACAAGTGAGCAACCTTTTGAGTCTAGGATCATTGGGGATCAACAGTTTGTCGGCTCTGGGACCAGTAATTACAGCTATGGCGGGTCTTCTGCAAGGGAAACCATCGATATCTCGCAGAAACGACACGATACCGCAAGCAGAGGCCCAAGATGTCACCACGCAAAGATCGCCAATTTATATACCGGTGGCAGAGTTCGCTGACGGAGACATAGAGACCGCCGAGAGTCAAAATATAGGTAATACGCGCAAAGCACAAAGCCACAGTAGTCAAATAACAAGCGAAATTATTCGAAGGCCTACTAAAAAAAGAATTTACTTTCAAGGTGCTCATCTTGCGAACGTGAATCACAACTACATCGCGGAAACGCGTCATAAGGTGGCGTCCAGCCTGGCGGATGGAATCCCAATTTCTCCGGGCGAAGTAATTACCGCGAACAGCGACGTGATTATCGGCAAACCGGGAATAATGGCACCGAGACCGCCTCAAACCTTTTTGGAGGACGAAGAGCACATCGGGATGAAGCCACCCCCGCTGCCTGTCCCTAACATACCCGTCCATCCTGTTCTCGAAGTTTTGGGAAACGATCGAGAGGACGGCCAGCAACAGCAAACACTCCAGAGTCACAAAGGTCCGCAAATACAAATATATCCCGCGCACCAGGTTTACGAGGAGCATCTGAAGATCCCGGTCTCGATGCCAGTCGACACGAATCCGATACTGTTGCCCAAACAACCTCAGAAGTTGCACCCTGTTCAATCGTCGCCGCCAAAGAGAATGGGATCCAAGCAGGACGTGTTGGAGAACGATCCGTTGTTGAAGCCACCCGATAGACCGAACGTCGAACAATACGTGAACCCGAATTCGAACCCGAAGGAACCAGAATGGAGCCCAGATAAACCTAGGAGGCCGTGGAGCGCAAAGGATCCTCTCAGACTTGCTCCGCCCCGTCTACACTATGATCAAGTACGCTCTTTTCACATTTTTAAATTGCATAAAATTACAAAACTCTCGAATATTAAATTGATTTTACACTCGCAGAAAATCGACTCGGGAAAGTCGCCGCTGGAGAAGAAGCCCTGGCCCAACGTTCCGTCCGACGATCAAAAACGACCGCCGTGGGCCCAGAGGGATCCCTTGCTCCCTGATTCCTCCATCGTCGTTCAGTCTTCGGAATCGAAACCCACGTCATCGGAGCCCATAGTGCACCAGGTGCCCCACGTTATCGATAGATCGACGGGTCAGCCTTTATTGGTCAACATTCAACCTAGTCAAGTAGCCAATGTTGTGATCCCTCAAGGCGGAACTCAAGCATTGATATTTGGCGACACCAGCGAGCCGCACATAAGCGGACAGTACTTCGACGACCCCTCACCGTACCCGGAATCCGAAGTTGGTTTAGGTTTCATCGGAATCCAAAGGGTACTGTGACTACATACGTATTTTCTAGTTAACGATCAACATTCTATAAACAAAACACTTTAAATATTCTGTTCTCTTGCAGGTGGAAGACTTGCCGCAATATACGAATGGAAACGACCCCGCAGATTACATGGTTCCACCATCGCCACCCCACAATTTCAAGACTATGCCAGAGAAACCAAGTTCCTCGAATCGACCGACCATTCCCCTATCGCCGGGTCGTTTCGATTACGAAAGACTACAAGATAAGTTGGAGGCGCCCTTGGGAAAGCCTGATAAGAAACCATCCGACGTGCATTTGATCAGACACTCGGATAGTTCCGGTGCTCTGGGCGGTCAAGGTCACGTGCACACCGAGATCTTGGTCCACCATAGACCGGAGACGGTGAACATACGGCCGGAAACCGCGTTGTATCCACCCACTCACTCTCACGGGCATTCCAATAACCATCCCCCATCCCATGGGCAGTTTACCAAGATCCCCAAACCTGGAGAGTCGGCCGTTCCACCTAGACGAATCGAAGTGTCCAATTCGATGGATAATTCTCATCGGTATATCCTCCTAGCCAAACCAGACTCGGGAAACGAGATCATGTTGAACTCCAACTGGAAGATGGACAAGAAACCGCCACGGCCTCCGCTGAATAACAGACTGAGACCACGGCCACTCATATGGTCGACGACCACTCGTCCCCTCGACAGACCGATCTACGTCGAAAGGCCAAATATCAGAAAGCCTATGTACGGTGGCCCGCAAAGACCCCCGCCAAAAACACCGAATTCGAACGCGTTCGTGCTTCCGCATCGTCCCATACACCACGAAGTTCATCACGAGCCCCCAAGAATTACTCCGACGCCGGGCGACGGCATCAGAGAAACGACCACCGAGAGACATCCTCCGTTCGGGCATCATAGTCACATCGATCTTCAGGAGAGACCACCTTACTTCTATCACGAGAACAGGAGACCCAGCGTCCAACAGGCCAGACCGCAAACGGAACACACCGATGAGCACGTGCCAACCGGGGCAATAGAGTACCACAATCCCTCTAATCCCAAACCGAAACCGGAGGATCCCAAACCGGCGATGAACGGTCAGATGGAAGGTTTCGGGCAAAATCTGCCTCACAACGAAGGAACGTCGGAAACTTGGCACGGCAACACGCAAACAGAGAAAACTATGGACTCCGAAATTGGCGCCTCGGAGTACATAAAGTACCACAATCGCGTGAACGAGGATCAGGACTCGGAGAAAACGATGGCTGACCAGACTGTCGCCGTTCAGAGCAATAACGAAACATTGAATGGAAACGTGGTTCCCGGTAATATAGTGGTTGGAAAGCCAGTGAGACTGGATCAGGTACAAGATCAAAAGGAGAAACCTGCCTGGTTACACCCAGGAGTTCCGTTTGGTCACAAAAACGAAGGTTCACCTAACCAGGGAATGCCCTATGGAGGACCTTACTTCAATGCCAAGCCTCACGATATGACGATCGTTCAAGGGAAACCGTTCGGTGTATACAATGGGCCCGAAGATGTGACATCTTATGGGTCTAAACGGAAAGAGAACAGGCCTGACTACGACATAGTGCAAGGCATACCTAATATGTATTACGGAAACAAAAAACCACCGTCCAGCGATAAACATCAACAGGAAGTACAGACGTCTGCAACCCACTCTCACGAACGTGATGATACCATAGACCTGAGGCCACCAGCGATTATTCCTCAATTCCAACCGGAATCGGACAAGCCTGGTAGACCGTACTCAAGGCCACCCATGGTAAACAAGGTCGAAACAAGGCCTGCGTTGTATCCCAGACCGGAAATTACCTCCCACCCGTCGGAGACGAGACCTGATCGGGTGAAACTGGCCAACGAAGCCAAACCAGGAATCCTGGAAACGTTCGCGAACAACAGTTTGAGTCACGAGACCAAAGGGAATCGAAGTCATTTGCAGCTGGGAGGATTCGTGGACCTAAATTGGGAAGGTGGTGCGAAGCTTAACGATCAACGGTTCGACGAATCAAGGCCTCGGATCAACGAGAGCGAGATCGTGAGAAACCGCTTCAGAAACAGCACGTTCCCCCAGAAAACCGACGGCCACTTCCCTCAGACGAATGCTGAAACCGCAAATTCGGGATTCGAAAACAATCGTCCGAGTTCAGGGACGAGGATCCATCCCGAGTATCCTCACATCGTCACCAAACCTAAGCCCCAAGTGCCTGGGCCCATAACCATCACGACAGCCAACTCGAAACCGGACACACGGCCCAACATAAGGTTCTCCATGCCCGTCGAGGTGATTGGCGAAGAGGTCGATAGTAAAACGCAGACTGAACGACCGCCTAGCATGCTGGTTCCAGCAAGTAATTCTGGCGACAAGAAGACGAACGAGGAGTCTCTAGAAACGGCTTATCAAACGAACTTTGCCGCCTCGGGTGGAGATCAAGATGATTCTCAGACCAACATGCACCCCGTCGAAACACCAACCGGGGACATTTTAGGTAGAGATCATGATTCCAAAGGTGTACAGGTGTATTCGAATATTTAACGTGAAATAAGAACCTCTGATTTTAGGTAACATCGAAGGAATAGATGTTCCATCGAGAGACATGATGCCTCCACCCTTGAGACCCTCGGTGGGAGTGAATCAGTCGAACAAGAAGGAAGAGGAGGACTTGAAACCTCCACCGATTCCTTCGCGCGACGTTCTAGGCTTGTCTCCGCCACCGGTCGATATCACTACGACCAGTGGACCGATGGAAGATCTATTCTCTTTCGCAACTGCAAACGAATCTGGTTTGAAACCCCCGCCAAAGTATATTCCTCTTAAGGAGTCTTCCGGCGCGCCCTTGCCCAGCGTCACCATGGTTCCGCCCAGCCCAAGACCCTCTATCGCGAGACCCTTCATCGTGGAGTTGCTTTCACAGGTAATTTTTCATCTATTTCAACAAAATTACTATTCTTAACTCTGGTTAACTCCATTGTGTCGCGTTTATTATCGTTTAGGACATGGTGCCTCCACCGCCAGCAACGCAAACAACAAGACCGCTAGAAATTGCCACCGTTCGGCCAGCAGTTGCTGTTTCTGGATCAATTCAGATCGCTACTGCCGTGGCAAGTTCCCACATACCGGTCGTCCACGATATCGAGTCGAAAATTCCAATTATACACGGGACCGTGGATCTTCCTGTCGTCGTCGACGTACCGGAGATCCTAAGGCCGCTCGAGACGAGAATGACGGAGCACGTTAGCATCTACACTGTCCGACCGTTCGATACGAGACCAGTGTCCAGGTATTCAAACGCGTATACTCGAATTCAAGTCTCGCTAAGTTTATGTTATACTCGGCAAAATTAAACGATCGCTAATTTTTCAGAGTGTCGATACAATCGACGCCGATGCTGTCGCCGAGCGTGGTGGTCCCGACCAAGTTACGACCACTGCAAGTGGACCACATTCAACCTAGCAAAGCGTCAACCACTAGAGACGTGGAACCAACCAGGTCCCACACCTTCGAGATACCGCGAAATCCTGTCAAGCGTCCGGAGCATCCGGTGTTTTTGGAATCCAGCTACGACCACGGTCACGTTCTACCGTCGACGAGACCGGAACCAACCGAAACTCTGACTCTAGTGACCATCGCGAGCCAGAACAAGGAGCCAAGACCTACCATGAAGAGAGACGAGAGCACGAAACCGATCGTTTCGCAGGCTACGAAACATAAACGGCAAAACGAAACGACCACGGAAGCGTTGCCTAGCACAGTGACCAGGGTAGACAGTTCCGTGACAAAGGTGACGAGTACGTTGCTGAAGAATAACAACACGAGAAACGCGTCGACGATCAAGACAACGAAGAACGTCGCCAGTGGTGCCACACGGAAAATTGCTAAGGAGTCTACGACTACGCACGCGAAGCCTAAAGAGGTAAGAATAAAATAATTATCGCGCGATACAATGAGGCTTGGCTATCGAGGCAAGTAGAAACAGCGATTAATGGTCAGACGCGTTAGGGAAATTTTATTTCTGAAATTTAGAAGACGATCTTTTACCACATAGGTTACGCGATTCCAGACATCTACCGTGACGAGAACGGAAACGTCGGTGTTAGGGTCTCCGCCCACGACGAGAACCCTCCTCCTCACTCACACGCTAATATCCACAACGGTGGAAACGGTCACGGAGACTTTGGTACGTCCGACAAGCGTGGTCGCGACCATAACGTCGACGATATTGCAATCCGTGGTGACCAGAGTGCCCTCGTCGTTCGAGAACGTGGTCGACAACGACTCCATCTTCGTGGTGATGAGCGACCAGAAACCACCCGCGCCCGGCGCCGAAGAGGTAAATGTAAGACGCATTTCCTTCAATTTCTATAGGCTTTCCCAACGAGGGTTCCGTCACTTTTATTAATTATTCTCGCAGGTGGAAGCTGAATACGGTGATATCTCGAGAGACGAGCAAGATCCGACCGGTAACGAAATTCACAGAGTCTTGGCTGGCGGGGTTCTTGGAGCACCTGTGGTGTCCATTCAACCAATCGTCAATCAATGCACGCCCGAGTGCAGAGCTTTCAGAGCGGAAGTGTGCTCGGAAGTTGGAACCGAAATGAGATGCGTTTGCCGGCCAGGTTTCGCGAGGATGTTCCCTGATCGACCTTGCAAACGTAACTAGTCGATTTGCAGCTTAAAAAATTATTTTTTAACACTCTGTTCTCTGCTTTGGTATCAATTTGTTTTTATTTCCAGCAACGTACACGTACACCTTGCGAGTCGGCTTGGATCGAATCGGAAACGAGCCTGTGACTTACGAAGCCAGCATGAACGATTCCACGTCGACGGCGTACAGAAGGCTGGTAGGTCCAACCAAAGACGCTCTGGACAGAACTCTGATGCAAAGCGACTTGAGGGACGTGTACAGAGGTCTCAACATAGCTAGTTTCATGCCTAAGCCAACGAAAGTCGAGTTCCACGTTCAACTTAGCGACAACGCCAACGAAACGCGATTAAAAGAAGTTCTCCGGAAGTATTTGATCGGAAGTAATTACAGTTTGGGGGGCACCGAAGTGTTCGCCTCGAAGAATCTCGACGCGGTGAGCGCGCATTTCGACTGTTTTAAGGGTTAAATGTGAATGGTCGTTGAGAATAATTTCTTTCAGATCGAAGCAGTCGATTTCGACGAGTGCACGATCGAGGAAGACGGACCTCATCATGATTGTTCGCCGAACGCGGCCTGCTTCAATTTGCGAGGTTCTTATCAATGTTCCTGTAAGGAGGGTTGGGCGGATTTGTCCGAAAACCCAGCGTACCCTGGAAGGTTTTGCTCCCAGGCTCCGCTGGGCTGCCCTAGTTGCAACAACAAGGGACACTGTGTGACCAACACGAACGGACACGAAGTCTGCGAATGCTTCCCTTGGCACAGTGGCCAACGATGCCAAGTTAACTTGAAAGGTCGGTCGAAACAACCCATTCAACCCCTACGTCAACAATACTCCTTTCCATATTTAAAAAAATGTTAAAGTTTTTACGAGTACGAACCATTGGAAACTATTTCGGAGACAAGCGTTGGAGTTTCGAGTTCCAATCGTGTCGTAAATTCTTTTTCAGTGCTGCTGATTGCTCTGGTTACGACCGGGGCGATACTGTTGGGTCTTCTGGCGGTATGCGTGGGCATGGCGTGCTTCCGTCGACCCATTCGAAAACGACAGGCCGGCGACAGAAGGGCTATGATTCCTGGAACCGGCGGAGATACCAGTAGCGAGGGTAGCGTCACGGATCTGGCGATTCCTCATCACGTGCCGCACGTTTTACCCCCGCCACCTCAGATGATAGCACCCCTTCCGCCGACCAAAAGACCGGCACGCAAGATCGCCGGGAAGCCTAGGCATCCGGCGCGGAAAGCCACCATGATGCCCGCCTCAGGTTCGTTTTCCACAATCTTACGTTTGCCCTGTTACCATTTTCTAATCGCGAGTGACTCTAACGAATAATTACAGTGCCTGTGAACGACGAACAACGGGATCGATCGTTGACGGTGATGATTCCGCGCGCGAAATATCGGTCGGCGCCTCAGTCGCCTCAAAATTACAAATCTGGGATGAGCACGTTTTCGACGGAGGAGCACAAGCTGCTCAGTTATCTCGATAACGGCACGCACGTTGCTGGGAACAGAAAGCAAAGCGTGTCTAGCACGAAGGACTGCAAGGAAGCCGACGTCCAAGTGATCAGAACCCAGACCACGCCGGCTGGTGCACTGGTTAGCGCAGGTTTTCAGGTATACTACTACTATAGTGACTCCAATGAATGCAACCTCACTCGATAATAAATTTAGTCACTCATGGTGTAAACGTTTGATCAGGTGTCGGCAACGGTGACGCGAACAATGGACGCCGATTCGACGTTGGCTCGTTCCTGCGGCGAAACCACCGTCGAAGCGGCGACAAAAGTTTTGCGAACCGCGGACCAGGCCGACCTGTGCTCGACTCTCGCGCGATCCTGCGGAGAGACGACCATCCAAGCACCGACCAAGCTCCTAAGACTCGATCTAGGGGAGGTGGGATCTACGCTGGCTAGATCTTGCGGGGAAACGACCATCCAGCCGCCGACGAAAGTTGCCGACGCCCGAAGGAACAGCGTTAAAGACGCCAGAGACACCAGGGACAGTGCCAGCGAGGGGCACACAATGGCTGAGAGGGATCTGGGAAGCACGCTGAGACTTCCGGCCCAGCATCCGCCTCTTTATAGCCCGGACAGGGTAAGTTACGAGCGAAATTCTACCTCTCTCTAGAATACCCGAGTCTTTTGTTTTCTACATTTCGAAACTGTATCTTTACGATAATCCAACGTCGTTTATAGTAAATTAGAAGTTAAGGGAACCGAATGTTGTTTATCGTTTACAGACCAGCGATCGAGAATCGAACTTCGACTCCCTGTAAGCACCGAGAATCCTCGATATAGGACATCAGGTCGATGGAGGGACGTGGACGAAACCGCTGGACGGTAATCTCCGCTGGTTCGCGAACCGTTCGATTAAAATTCCTCGTTGCCAAATGGAAGGAGAGACAAAATTTTGCTAATCGATGCGCTCGAATCGACCGACGATCGAAATTTTCCTGAACATTTGTCGGCGAGCGCGTCGGAACGACGATGAAAAAATTAGCAACGTATTAAATTAAAACTGTATTTATTCGAAAGGAAAACCTCTCGAACGAAATATTCTCTCGATATTATATGAATCTTGGAAACAAAGGTTGAAAATAGTTATCTTTGGAACCGTTTTAACCATTGTTTCATGATGAATTTGTTAAAAAATGTTTCCGAAAGAAGAAGAAATGAAATCGTGAGAAGCGCTTTCCTTTATTTATTTATACTCGCTCGACATTTAGATACTTTGCGTGGACGTTTCAGTCGCGCGGAAGCGCTCTCTTTGCCATCGACGGGATTCTGATCGAGTTCGATGAAACGTAAAAGAAAATAAGATTCTCAAAGAGACGCGCGCGTTATTTACCCCCGTGCCAAAATACAACCAATGAAAGAGAAGGCTCCTCGAAGAAGCTGCTTCTCGCCTTTCTGACTATCGTTATCGCATTTCTTCGAAACGGTCGCGAAGGGCTCGAAACGTTGTTTACAAATATTATTATCCCCGTTGCAACTCCATCAAAGGGTTGTCTGTTTCGATAGAACCATTAGAAAAGCGCAAACATATTTGTTACTATTACTTTAAAAATTTTATATTGGTTTCAAAGGCCAATATAAATTCGAACAATCGTTTCGTGCCTCTTGCTGTACAGCACGCGAATCGTGGCGTGACTTAACACAGTGTCATAAGTCGTGGACGGCGCCGATCGTCGCGGATTCGACGACTGCGAAGGCAGACATTATTATTATTGTTGTTGTTGTTTGTTTGTTTAGTCTATTCTCTGACGGGTCTCGTCATGTTGCCCGGCTTCGTCCGGAAAATTCGTGCGTCGCTGCGTGTAATTCGACCGAATTCGATAAATCGTACTACCATTCGATCGCGAGCGGCGCTCAATCGTGGTTTCCCGATCGAACGAAACGTCGTTTCGTTTACAAAATCGATAACTAGAGATTTTCAGACGCGAGTCGTGTCCCGGCGGATAGTCAGTCATAGTGCTTATAACGCGTCGATATTTTCAGAAATGTGTACTTTTAAAAAGGACTCGCCGCGCGTCTGAAAACTCGAGCTTCCTTTTGCTACAATTTCCTCTCGTTCCTGACACCAGGCCGAAACTAACATATCGAAAACAATCTACCTCGATCGATGGACTGGCAGATATTCTGTGAAACGCGATGCTCGGGGGTTCGAAGTCGGTTCGATCGGCCGATTCTTTTTTTTTCCCTATTGCATTTAACGTCAGCGATTTGATTCTGGATGCGAGAACGCGATCGAATGTCCGCCAATTGTTTTATCGAGACGAAGCCGCGGCAACGTCGCTGAATTAGACTCGAGTAAGAGCGAGCAGGACGTGTTGCATAACGCACGCACATGCAACTTTATTTAGCTCAATAGGTAGCGTAAGCGGATGCATTACGGAGGACAGGTGTATCATTAACGATGTTACTCTTATTTCTTTTCCTTGTAAGGCCGCGTTTAACCAAAACACCGTCCGAGATTGTCTCGGACGAAAACAGAAACGAAGGCGACGATGCTCGTACCTTGTATCGCATCTATGTACTAACTTGTCCTTTCTCCGTCCAAATGAATTGTTCTTTATACATACATATACATATACGCATAGATATTAATTTTATACATATATATATAATATGCATATAAATAAATTCTATTGTACATATTACCTCTTCGAAAACCTCTACTTGATTCTATTGTAATTTTGTATACTTAGAGCCTGTATACTTGTGAGTAATTTTAATAAAAATGAGTAATACTTATGGACTTTGGCGAATCGTCACCCTCTACTATTTCCCCAAAGTTTCGATATTAGAATATATTCTATAAAATGGTTCGATATAGGATGTATATCTGGTCTGTGAACGCAGAATCGGAGGAGGCTACGCCACTGGAACGGGGACAACTTGATTCTCGCGGTGGCAAAAAGTCGAGACGTGCGCCAAGCCGCGTTTCTCGATTCGTCGCGGCGCGAGGCGCGGTCTGCAACTAAAACGAGCCTAATCCACGCAAAACAAACCAACCCGCTGGGCCCCGTTCGTGAAACGTCCACGGTGTCGCGAGCTCCGTCTCCCATACTCGACGAAAGGCCCGATTCGTCGAAGGGCCGTTCGGACGACTGGCAACTACCGCAAATGACTTTATTTATACCGTCGGCCCTTATTAGGACTCTCCGAGCCATCGCCGTGTAAGGTTGTCGGAAGGTAATTTCGCCGGTATCAAGCTTCTTTCGTCGGCCCTCGGTTTTTGTACGGCCGTCTCCGCTGAAATTACTCTCCCGACGAGCGTGCAAGTTTTTCGTGCGAGCGTTACGCGAACCGTTCCCCGCCGATCGCTCGATCCTCGTCGATTTCGTTGGAAAACTGTGCGATCGGTTCTTCTGCGCGTTCCTCGAGGGAGATGGGATATAGCACTGCAGCTGTACGTTTCGTGTATTCGACGCGTTGTGGAAACTTCCTTGCTGGAAGAGGTGAGTCGAGAGTGCGTTAACCGAGCGCTCCTCGGCTTCTCTTTCCAGTAATCGGTTCAAACAGTCGCGAAACAATTCGAACACATTTCCATATTTCACCTTTTAAGCGCTCAGAGACAGCTTTAATGTATGTATAAATATTTCTGCTCCGAAATTTGTATTTCGCTTTTTTATTATCTCGGTAGCTTGGCACGGGTTCGTTGGATCATCGGGCGTTGTCCGATTTAAGCCGACCACGGCAGGAAAGTTGTTCAAGAAAAAAAAGAATTTGGTATCTCGGTAGGGTATAGTACTCGGAAACGTAAACAACGAATGTCCTGTTAATGTAAGCCCGCAAATGAATTCTGTCAGAGTGAGATTCGGTGAAGAGATTCGGGTTAAAGGGGGTATTCCACTGTACAGCAGGTACTTTTTCAGAATTTTTCGAACAACAGCTATATTATACGTTCTTCTTTTCCCAGATTTCACGCACTTCTTTATCAATATTCAAATATTAATAGCATATGCATTTACCCGACTGTACTTTGATTAGACGAAGATTAAGATCGAAGGCGGACTAATTATTTATCAGCAATTTTGGTTGAATTTGATTACAGTGACGATTTCGATATACAGAGTGTCTCCGAAAATTGGTATCAAACTCTGGGAGCATCTAGTACTCGTCGAAAGAAGCAAAACGATTTGAAACGTGGGTCCAAATGGAGCTGAAATCCGACAGTTTCTCCGCTTTCTCTTCTTCTCCCGGCCATTCGTTCTTTTCCTTCGCGTCTTGATTTGAGACCCACATCGTGTTTTAATTTCACGGTCCGCTCACCCCTTTTCTTCCTAATCGTCATCCTCCACGACGAGGCGACCAAGGAGAATCGAAATCACGGAGAAGGCAGAGAGAAAAATAATCGTAGCTTACTCCTGCTGAGATAAAATTTCTTGGTCGTAAAAAAAAAACACGGAAAAAATGACAACGGAGGAATATAAAATTCTAACGTTACGCGAGCAAAGTACCGGCGGCCATGATTTTCATCGAGTTCTTTCTTTTCGTAGCAAACGCGGTCACTGGAATGTCGCGCGGCAAAAGTCAAGCGGAAATGGCCGTGGATTTCAGCCCCGAAACGACAGAAGGATGACACAGTGCCACTTTTTCCCGGAATTGGCAGCCTCGACGCGTTTTTGCGACGTGTTGCGCCGGAGAAATTGGAACCCTTGTACCCTCGTGTGTCTGGCAACGAACCCCCGCCGATTTCCCGGTGCGCCCTTTCTCTCAGCGTATGATTTTCGTCGTGTTCCCTGCCCGATCGCAGATAAGATTACATCCAAAGAAAATACGAGCAGTCTACGACCCAACGAACTGTCTCTGTACCCCTCGGAAACTGCTGAAGAAATTATGTACTATTCGAGCTTTTCGAAACTCCAATTTCTGCCCCACCGATCTTTCAGCCCCCTCGACACGTTTCTGTACTTAACTTGCGAATCACCGTCATCTACCGGCACGATTTAGGAGTCATGATCTTAGATCGATGTCTGAAGAGAAATGGATATTTTTAATAATGTTCGATTGTTAAAATTCTGTAAGTTTCGAGGAGTCTATTCGGTCGCTGAACTTCCCAGAGAATTACAAATGTTTACCAGTTGGACTGATCTCTCATATCGAAATCGTCTCGCATCGTAGCCCAAATAACAAATAACGCAAACGTTCCCCACAATATGCTTTCTCGAACGAAAGCAGAAGCGACCCCGGGTTCTCCCCGTCGAAAATAGGGTCGAACGTCGTTGAATTTCAGGTTGAAGGACCACTCCGTATCCGCGGGCACAATGGCGTTGCACCGGCCGCGCGTTAAAGATCCCTGAACGTGTATCGCATGCCATGAAATAAATTGTCCAGAAATTTGAAAGGTCGGCGTTCTTTGTGGGATTAGCCGGGCACCGCGGGCTACCAACTACAAATCACCAGGTACCAGTTACCAGTTACCACCTATCACGTGGCTCGCTGCTCGCCGAGAGCCGCGGATATATGCGCCGATGGGGAATTATTGCGATCCAAGTGTGAATAGTTGAAGAGGATCGTCGAGACGGCTGCGTCCATTGTGCCCGCGCCGAGTGATAGTCACCTTGTTTGTAAACCAGGCGTGATCGCTTTTAGACGATTTATACACTGCGTTCAGAAACAAGTACAAACAACTAAACAAATATTGGACTGTAAAGTCTCGATATTGTACAGAAGTTATGGAGATTCGATGATTGGTTCTTAGAGAGGAGAGTCACTCGTTGCTTAAAAAGGAATAAAGATGCTTTTCAAGAGCCCTAAAACTTCGTAGAGGAAGCGAGTGTTTCTGAAACCGTTCGGTTTAGGAAGATCGTTTCGAACGAGTTTTTGGTGACGCGCGACTGGCAAGTTGGCGAGTCCTGGAGGGACTTTCGCCGAGTTCGGCGCGGCGAGC